CTTATGGCTAGTTTAGCTAAAGGCTCATCAGTCTTGTTGATCTTTTCGGAGAACCAGATCCTTGTTACATTGGTACTATGTATTGCTCTTTTAATTTCTACTTCATTGGTTTCTGTCTTGATACGTATTGTTTCTTTTGCTAATTTGGGGGTTCACTTATTTTTGTTTTTCTAAGACCTTAAGGTGCATCATTATTTGTTGGGAGCTCTTTGTTGTTGGTGTTTTTTTTTTTGTCAGTCATGGGGCTTGAACTCTGGGCCTGGGCACTGTCCCTCAGCTCTTCAGCTCAAGGAAAGCACTCTACCACTTGAGCCACAGCACTACTTCTGGTTTTCTGGTGGTTATTGGAGATGAGTCAGATCTCAGTTTCTTGAGTAGTTAGGATTACAAGTGTGAGCCATCAGTGCCTGGTGCTCTTTGACTTTTTAAGGTGGGCACCAATAACTATCAACTCTTAAAACAATCATTGTTACATCTTACAGGCTCTAGAACATTGTTTCTATTTCCTTTAATTCTTGCAATTTGAAACATTTCTGTCAGATTTTTCCAACAATTATTCAAAAGCATATTGCTCACTGGACACCAGTGGCTTATGCCTGTAAACCTAGCTACTCAGGAGGCTGAGGTCTAGGGATCACAGTTCAAAGCTAGCTTGGCAGGAAAGTCCATCAGACACTTATCCCTTATTAATTATCAAAAAAATAGAGCTGTGGCTCAAGTGATAGAGCACTAGCCTTGAGCAAAAAAGCATTCAGGAACTGAGTTAAAGCCTCAGGATTGTCTCTCTCTCTCTCTCTCTCTCTCACACACACACACACACACACACACACACACAAAGCATACTGCCCAGTGTCCATGTTTTTGTGTAATTTCCAGTGCTATGATGTTTAATTTTATTATGACCTGACAAGATACAAAAGACTACTTCAAGTTTCTTGTAATTATGGGCAAGAAAGTGTTCTATTTTGGAGAATATTCCATGGGCTGAGGTGTAGAATGTGAACTTGGCACCATTTGGGTTGAGTTTTTTATATAGATATGTTAAGTCCATTCAGTACAATTTAACTCTGAAGTTAACTCTGATTCCTAATTTTATAAAAATTTTTTGGAGTGGGTAATCTGGTTGATCTATTAATGGAAGGTATTTAAATCACCTACTACACTGTGTGTGAATATATATGTCCCTTTATGTCTGGTAGTTTGTCCTAAGAAGTTGATTACATCAACATTGGTGCATATATATTTACAACTATTTCTTCTTCTCTTTCTTTGTATCCTGCTCTTCCTCTTCTTTCTCCTTTTGATGGTACTGGGGTTTTGGAACTCAGGGTCTTGTATTTGTTGGGCAAGTACTCAACCATTTTGACCACAGACTCAGCTCTTTTTTGATTTGGTGAGTCTTCAGATAGGACCATTTACTTTTTTGCTAGGGCTGGTCTCAGACTGCTATCCTTTTAATCCTTGCCTCCTGTATTGCTGGTATTATAGGAATGAGCCACTGTACTCAGGCTGTTATTTTCTTCATAGACTGTTCCCTTTACTGCTAGATAGTGGCCCTCCTTTATCTCTTCTAATTTTGCTATGAAGCCTATAACTACTGTGTTCTTATTTTTGCTTCTACTTGTTATACGTTTTTCATCCTTTCATTACAGCTTGTATGTGTTTGCCAGTAAGGTATGTCTCCTGTAGAAAACAGTTCATCTTGTTTCTTTAACTCTGTTAGTCAAACTGTTTTAGAGAGTTGAATCCATTTACATTTAAGGATTTTAGGTTATTATAAAAGTATTTTCTGGCTCATTTTGTTGGGTCTGTTTTTTCCCCTCTAGTTGATTACAGTACTGTTTGTTCACTTGTTTTTTTTTTTTCCTTATTCATCTTGTGAGGTTGCTGGTTTGAGTTGGACATGATTCCCAATTCTCACATGTTCATCTGTTTCTCCTCTGAAATTTATTCTTTCCAGCTCTCATATTTGTGATTTTCTTCCCCCTCTTTGTGAAGGATTCCTTTAAGTGCTTTCTGTTGGCCAAGAAGTTGTGAATTGCTTTAGTTTGTGCTAGACTGTCTTGGAAACACAATTTTAGGGCTAAGTTGGCTGGAAAGAGTGCTCTTGGTTAGCAGTTGCTTACTCTCAGGGCTTGAAATCTATTTCATCCTTAACTGGTTTATAGAATTTCTGTTGAGAGGTCTAATACAATTCTCATGATTCTGTCTTTGTAAGTAAGTTGGCATTTGTCTTGTGAAGAGTGAAATAATATCCTTTCATTGGTTTCTACGCTTGCCTTTTTAAGTAAAATATGTGTAGAATTCGTTTCTGGTCTAGTTCTGTATGTCTTCCATTTTTCCCCAAGACTTGGGAAGCTTTATTTTGAATCTCAGTTCTTTCTTCTAATTCTTAGGTTTGGTCTCTTTATTGTGTTATGTTTCCAAAATAAAAAAAATAATATTGTTTCCCTCACCCCCCCAGTTGTAGGGCTTGAACTCAGGGCCTGGGCACTGTTCCTGAGCTCTTTTTGCTCAAGGTTAGCGCTCTCCTACTTTGAGCTCTATTTCCCATTTCCTTGTGGTTAATTGAGATAAAAGTCTCATGGACTTTCTTGCCTGGGTTGGCTTTGAACTTGTGACCCTCAGATCTCAGCCTCCTGGGTAGGCAGGATTACAGGCATGAACTATTAGCCCCTGGGTAAAGATATGTTTTTTCTTTCTCCCATTCTTCTTTGAGGTCACAGTTTCTTATTTTTTTTTTTTTTGGGTCCAGTCGTGGACTCTGGGCCTGGGCGCTGTCCCTCAGCTCCTCAGCTCAAGGCTAGCACTCCACCACTTGAGCCACAGCACTACTTCTGCCTTTTTTTTTCTGCTTATGTGGTGCTGAGGAATCAAACCCAGGGCCTCATGCATGCAAGGCAAGCGCTCTACCATTGAGCCACCTTCCCAGCCCTAGGTCACAGTTTCATAGTCTCTGTATTTAGGCAAGGAGACTGGAAGAACATAAGCCTTCAACGTCCAAGACACACATTTCTAATGACTCCATTTTCTAAGAGTCCATTTTTCCAGACACATAAAGTGTTAGAAGAACTCTTCAACTTTTCTTTGGCAGAACTCTTGGTCCCTCCATTAGAACAAAAGGTTCAGGATAGTAATCCTCCTTACAATGTACAGACTCAATCTGGGAAGATTGAAGAAACCTCTTTTCTCCTGTGAAGCATCCAAGAAAGTAAACTGATATGAGCAAGGGGAAAAATTTCAGAATATAGAGCATTCTGAAGGACAGATGAAACAAAGGGTATTTTTTGGATAAAGACTATCCTACGTACTCAGAAACTTTAGGGTAACAAACATCTAGTAACTCATGCAAGTAATACTTTTGTATGTTAAAAGTTACTCTGAATTTATAAGTGTTTTAAAGTAAATTTAATGATATACAAAACTTAGGAAGTCAGAGTTCTTCTATGAACTGCATAGTTTTAAAAAAGAAGGTATTCCTCAAGATCAATACATTACCCAGATATATTTCAAATATAACAGGAGGAAATCATTCAAACTCAGAATAAATATTATTCTATGCCAACATGGATTATTTTAGCAAAAATTTTTTAGCCAATTAATACATTTTCAAGCTCAGAATTTAAGTAAAATATACATCATCTTTTAAAGGTACATCTTAGGATCTGAGTGCCAGTGGCTTATGTCTGTAATTCTAGCTACTCAGAAAGCTGAGATCTAAGGACTGCAGTTCAAAGCCAGCCTGGGCAGGAAAGTCCGTGAGACTTTTCTCTCTACTTAACTACCAAAAAACCCAGAAGTGGTGCTGTGGTAGAGCACTTGCCTTGAGCTGAAGAGCTGAGGTACAGTGCCCAGGCCCAGTGTTCAAACCCCACAACTAACCAAAAACAAACAAAAAAGCCAAAGTACATCTTAGGAAACTCAGCCAAAACAACGGGTAAGTTAACTGAGAATGTGTATATACATCCACATTTGATCTATATGCAAGAATTAAATGAAATACAGAGGAAATTAAGGTCTCAAGATTTCTAGAATATCAGTGCTTAATTCCAAATACTTAGCTGCCAAATAGTGAGAACCTCCAATGCAGAAGTAATTTCGATGTTAAATCCAAGACTACAAACAACCTCTTTGAGCTGTTACATCTGGCTTAAAGTGGAGGCAGAAGATAAGTCTGCCAGTGTTCCCACCTCACCTACACTTTCTTCCCTTATGAGGCGTAGGCTTCAAAGAAAGTGTTCATATCTGAAAAAGTTCCACATGAGTTGAAGTTGCAGACTATAATGTTTTTTAATCAAATGAAAAGATGAATTTTAAATTATTTCCCAGACTTACCTGACCTCTTTAGAGGTGAAACTTGACTTCTATGCCACACAAGGCAAGCACATCTTATGAATTCAAAGCTAAACTTCACAAAGATCTAGAATAGATAAAATGAATGCATGAACCATCAAGGAAGCTGATACTTCAAGCTACACAGATACACGGGAAATGCTGAAGTGTTTTATTTAGATTTGGTCTTTTGGATTTTTAAATTTAGATTTAGATGTGGTCTTTCTACAACAGAATCCTGGAAAGGTTAGGAAGTCATGACACCTATGCATCTTGCAATTCTTTTCTTCCTACAATAGGGACACGCCGATAGCATCATCTGTCAATATAATATCAACACAGCATGACAATTTAAGCAGTAGACAGGTTACATTTCACCCCAAAGAGGCTCAAAGTACCATGTGACTGGTTCCAAAACAAAGGCAATTATTATAATGCCATCTTAGTGGTTACAGTATTGATATGATCAACATAGCTAACTTAAAAAAATAACCATCATGTATTTTCAGAAGCCATCCCTAGGTAAGAAACCAACGACAAAGAGAGTTTTATTTTTAAAATGCTAACTTCAAAATGACATACTAACTACACATCAGCATTCAAAAGCTAGGTTGAACATTAGACTGCCCTTCAGGCCCATGTGGTAGATTCCTCTTTAATACACAAAACTAAATAGCAATATCAACAGTATAATTATTGTCTCTGTATTTGTGATCAATGATTAGCAGCACGATTCCCAGAAGGAAGGAGATGGACCCGACGGCCATGTAAGCGATGCCCAAGAACGGATTTTTTCCTCTCATCCATGAAGTGGTACTCAGGATCACCCGTTTGCGGCCGTCAAAGGAATGCACGGGGTAGTTGTAGGTGATATTCAAATAATACCTTCCGGCTGGCAGCGTGGGATGCGAATCACCTCTCCCTTCGATAAGGCGATATAACTTCCGAAAAGTGGGTAAGGCTGCAATGCGCATCCAAATGATGAAATCCTCGTTTAGGAATCCATTGTTATCATCCTCATCACCACCACCACCACCACCACCACCATCATCATCATCCAGCATGTATACTGGTTTCAGCCAACTGACTGGCTTTGTGGTGCCCTGAAATCGTTCCTGCAGGCTCCTCTCCCCCGGAGGGTTTCGGAACTTCACGTGTCTGTCGGTCCACCAGGCCAGCCCCCGCTTTCCCAGCGGGATGGGCGTCAGCGCGCCCGCGGGGCCCTCGGCCACCAGGAACAACTGCAGCGTGTCGTTGAACATGCTGTTGGCAATGGCGCCGCAGGGAGCGACGGGCAGGCCGCGGTGCCTGCGGTAGGGCTCACACTCCTTACTGGGGTGCAGCAAGGCCTGGGGGTCTCCGTGCAGTTGCCGGTCGTCCCGGGATTTCACGTAGGGCCGGTGGTTCTGATAGAAGTTGCTCAGGCCGTAGTACATGAGCACGCGGCCCTCCAAGGGCCGGTCCAGGGTGAAGTTCACTGCGCAGACGCAGGGCGTGGCCTCCGGGGACAGGCACTTCCGGCAGGGGCTGGCAGGCTCCGCCCCCGTGTAGTCCACCTCCATCTCCCGGATGTTGCTGGAGGTGAGGTAGAGGCCCACACCCAGCGGGATGAACAGCAGGCTGATGGCCAGGAAGGCGGGCAGCACCGTGCCCGCCGTCAGGATGGGCTCCCCGGCGGGCAGCCGCTGCTGCTTGAAGTCGGTGTTATCCGTTCTCCAGGCCTTAGTGGGGCTCCCAGGAGCACCGGGGAGCCCCCTGTCCCCTTCGTTGGACCCTTTGTGGCTCATGGCCGTGGGCGCCCAGGGCGCGGCAGGTGAGTCGCCCGGGAGACCAGAAAGGCCCGCGCAGGCGCAGCAGCCCGCGCAGGCGCAGCAGCCTCCGTCACAAAGGCCGGAAGTGGGCGCTAGCAGGCAGTGTCCAGGAGCGGAAGTGGGAACGGCTGGAACTTAAGGGTGACTGGAAGCAGAAGTGGGCGTTGGCGGGTGGTAAGGGTGGCCGGAAAGGGAACTGGGCATGGCTGGGAGGCAGGTTGACCGGAGTGGAAGTGGGTATTGGACGGAACTAAGGGTGAGAGGAACCGGAAGCCAAAATGGGAGTGCCTGGGCATAAGGTTGGCTGGAAGCAGAAGTGAGGATGGCCGGAAGTGGGAGTCACCGGAAACGGAAGTGGGAGTTGGGAGTGGAGGAGGAGACGGCCGCAGACCAGGAGGAAGCCTGATGGGCAAGGGTGGGGACCGCCGTTTATTTTTAAGCAGCTCTGCTGAGATGATTTACATACATTAAAATACCCATCTTGTAAGTGTGCAGTTCGATGAGTTTTAGCAAATTTACATCCTTGCACAAGTATCTCCACCATCCAGTTTTAGACTGTTTCCAACAGCTCCCAGGTTTTCTCATCCCCATTTATAGCCGGTCCCTGCTCCAAGCGCTAGCGCCGGCGACGGCCAGTGTGTTTCCCATCTCCACGATTTGCCTTTTCTAGAAATTCCGCGTCAATAGAACCATAGGCTCTACGGTTTGATCTGTCATATGTTCAGGATTTGTGTGTTAACTCACGCACGAATAATTGGTGATTTTATGCATGTACCACGTTTTGTTTTTTCCATTCACCAATTGGTGAATTTGAATTGTCCACTTTTTCTTTGTGCCAGTACTGGAGCCTGAACTCAGGGCCTGGATGCTGTCCCTCAACTTTTTTTCAGTCAAAGCTGGTGTTCTACCAGTTGAGCCACATCTCCACTACAGGCTTTTTGGTGGCTAATTGGACATAAGAGTCTCACAGACGTTGTTGCCTGAGTTGGCTTGGAACGGAGATCCTCAGATCTCGGTCTCCTGAGCAGCTAGGATTATAGGTGTTGAGGCACTAGCACCCAGCAATTGTCCACTTTTTGACTGTTGTGACTAATGCCTGATGAGAAATGGCATAGATGTCTGTATTGACATATTTACATTTGTCTTAAATAGATACTTTTGAGTGGAATTTCTGGGTTGTAAGGGAAATAGGAAACTGCTAAATCATTTTCCAAGGAGGTTTTACCCATATTATATTCTCAAGTCAATATATGAGGATTTTGTTTACTCCATATCTTGGTTTCTCCATCTTTTTTTTATGTATGTGTAATGACATCTTATTGTGGCTTAAATATGTATTTCCATATTGGCTAATCATATCAGTATCCTTTTATTATGCCTATTATCCATTGGCATAGTTTCTTTGGCAAAACTGTTCAAATATTTTCTCTATTAAAGAAATGTGTTGTCTTATTGAGTTGCAAGCAATTCATTATGCTCCATACAATTCCTTTATGTGTTTTGCAAATATTTTCTTCTAGTCTGTGGCATGTTTTTTTTTTCCTTTTCACTTTTCTTACTTGTCTTTTAAAGAGCCCAAGTTTTAAATTTTAATGAGGTCCAATTAGTTATGATTTTCTTTTATGGGTTGTACTTCTAGTGTCATTTCTGAGAAATATTTTCCTAGCTCAAGGTCATAAATGTACCTCACAGAAGTTTTATAGTTTTAACTTGTAATATTTAGGTTTATGATTCATTCTGAGTTAAATTTTGTATGTGGTGTGAGGTAAGGAAACAAGTTTTTTTTTTGACATATGGTTATCCAACTGTTCTGGCACCATTTGTAGAAAGATTATTATTTTTTTTCTTTGAAAGGATGATCTTACCTTGTCTCATTACGGGAAATCATCTAATCGATTTTGTGTGCCTTTATTTCTAGACTCTTTTAGTTTTTTTCTTTTGAGAATAACTTCTTTCTCATTTGAGGCAAGTTCATGGAATAGGTGACTGGAAAGTCTCCTCTTCCAGACAGAGGACAGACACAGAAACCACAATGAATACTCTGATACATTCTAACTATGATGTGAGTCTTGAGTAGAAAAAAAAGGAACTGATAAATGGGTGGAGTTAGAATGGGTTATGACGATCATATCAACCAAGTTCATTTCATGGAACTATTCACAATAACAGATATCACAGTGCATTTTCTGTTGTTACAGAAGGCCTGAGACTGAGTAATTTATAAAGAAGAGTCGTTTAGTTTGGCTTACAGTTCTAGAGGCTGAGGAGTCCAAGATCAAGTGGGTATAGGATCTGCGGGAGGCTCAGTGCTATTCCTAATTCAAGAAAATGCAAGGGCAAGTAAGTGCATGCAGAAAAGGTAAAATATGATGGGTTGTTTTGCCTCATGATCACCCATTATGGGTAACGAATGAGTCCAATCCAGAAAAAGAACATACTCACCTGAGAAATGCATTTTTAAGGGATCAGCTCCAAATCAGAGAAGTGAAATGGGAAAGGCAGGCGAGGAGGAGGGCATGAACAGCAGAGTAAGTACAATGGCCTGGCATATGTAGGGAAACTAGAAGAGTTGTGCTTGAAGTAAGGGTGTGAGTTGAAAATCTGCTTGGGATGATAGTTTGGAGTAATCTATGTATCTTGCAAAGGATGTCTGTTTCACTCTGAATGATACAGGGATTGGCTGATGGGTTTAACTATAATATCGTAAAGTCCAATGTGTATTTCAATAGCAACTGATAGTCCACAAGGTGGAATCATCTCTGAGAAAACATTTGCTTGCTAGGACTGCCATAATCAAATGCTACAGACTGGGTGTCTGAAAGAACAGAGTTGTTTTCACCATCCTTGAATCCAGAAGGCCAGGATTAAGCCTTGGACAGGTTTAGCCTCTGTCAGGGCCAGTTTCCATGCTTGCCGATGACTTGTTCTGGGCATCCTCACATGGCCTATTTTCTCTGTGTATGGGTATCCAGTGTTGTTTCTTCCTCCTCCTCTTCTTCCTCCTCCTTTCCCCCCTCCAGCTGTTCCTAAAGGCCGATGCTCTACTACTTGATACACTTTCAGCTTGTTTTGCAGTTAATTGGAAATGAGAATCTCATGGGCTTTTCTGCCAGGGCTGGCTTCAAATCATGATCTTTAGATCTCAGCCTCTCGAGAAACTAGGATGACAGGCAAGAGCCATTGGTGCCTGGCTTCTGCCTCTTCTTATAAGGGCACCAATCATATTAGATTAGAGCCTCACCCTTCTCACCTTAGACATTCCTTCAAAGGCTGTATTTCCAAATACAGTCATACTTGGAGTTAAGACTTCAATGTGTGAATTCTAGGAGGACATGATTTCATTCACTACAAAAAGCTTCCTCCTTATGGGACCTTTTTTTGGTGTGTGTGTGTGTGTGTGTGTGTGTGTGTGTGTGTGTGTGTGTGTGTGTGTGTGTATGTGTGTGTGTGTGTGTGTATGTATTCTGGGGCTTCAGCCCAGGGTCTGGACACTTTCCCTGAACTTGTTTGCTCAAGGTGAGCACTCTACCACTTGAGACACAGCTCTACTTCTGTTTTTTTTTGTGTGTGTGGCTAATTGGAGATAAGGACCTCATGGACTTTTCTGGTTAGCTTAGAACTGTGATTCTCAGATCTCAGCCTCCTGAGAATCTAGGGTTGCAAGCACCTGTGTAGGGCACATGGTCAGCAAAGATGGCGCTGAGAGGGAGTTGAGTGGGCAGAGCCCGAGTTGTTTATGTTAAAATCTGACTGGGTACCACAACCAGGCGAAGTGACGTCAGTGCGCGAACAGCTCGAGGACAGCAGGGAAAGTATAGAAAGCTTAGGCGCATGATAGGGTGACCGCTACAGTGATTGGTTGGTTCCTTTTCCTCCCCTTCCATGCCATGCGGTTTTTTGCTTTAAAAAGTGCTTGCTGTGTGGTAATAAAGGAGTTCCTGCTTGACTTGACTCCCCTCTGCATCTGACTGTCTCCAGGGCTAGGGGAGGCTGGGGAATGGGTGAGCGGCGCACTTACCTTTCCTTGGACCCCGTCAGTCTTACGCAGGACGGATGAAGACCAAACACACCTGGACTTAGGGGACATTTTTATCTCCTGGCCTTGGATAAACAATTCCTATGTGTTCTTTCATTCTATTCCCATACTAGTGTTAAAAACTTGAACAATTAATTGCACGGAGCCTGTTTTCTCATCTGCACAATGGGGACAGTATAGTATTTACCTCTTAATACTATTTCAAGTCTTAGATGGATTACTGAATGATGAAAGGGGTGACATTGATCAGATGAACTGTATTCATAAACTGCTTTGTTAAATAGAACTCCTTTATACACCCACTTAAAGATAATAAAAATATAATTTAAAAGGCAGTGGTGTCTGGTATAAACACTCTGTAGAAGTAAATAAACCCTGACTATAAGTAGTATTCACATCTTCAAATGAGGGAAACACTCTGTGTGTGTGAATGTGTGTGTGTGTGTTGTATGCACATGTGTATGCAAGCATGCCAGTCCTGAGGGTTTAACTCAGGGCCTGGGCAGTGTCCCTCACCTCCTTTTCCTCAAGGCTAGTGCTCTACCACCTGAACCACAGCTCCACTTCCACTTGCTTAATTGGAGGTCAAAGTCTCACTGGCTGGCTTTGAACCTCACCCTCAGATCTCAGCTTCCTTACTAGCTAGAATTAAACATGTGAGCCCCTCATGCACGGCAGATAAAACCCTTTTAGAAGTCACTGTTTTGGTAGCCTCAGCATTATTATCTCAGATCTTGGAAATGGGCTGAGAAACTGGTCCTAGAGATCGTGCTATGTGTTACCAGGGAAACAGGGAGTCTGATCAATCTTTCAAATTCTCAACAGGAGGCCCTGTCTCAATAAACCACTTGTGAGCTGACAATATCTTAAGTTAAAATGCATGTAATACACCCCACCTACTAACTTCTGATCTTCGCAGTACAGCCACTGTGGAGCGCTG